ACTCTTTTATTCCTTGTAAATCCAACCATTGTACTTATTACGGAAACGTGGTGTAATTCATCTATATCCGATCATTCCTTGAATGTAGATAACTACGTTTTCTTTAGAACCGATAGATGTCATGGAATAGGAGGCGGTACAATTATCTATGTCCGTTCAGACATTCAAGCGTGCAAATTTGAGGATAAATCTCTTGATGCTATAGACGACTCCACTTGGGTTACTGTAAACTGTGGATCCCAAAATTATTTACTGGTGGGATGCATATATAGACCACCTCATGCGGATACTAAGTTTGACAGATTACTAACAAACATATTTTCCATTGCTTCGCACCAACCGCATACTTTTAAAATCATCGGAGGTGATTTTAATCTGCCAAAAATTAAATAGGGCTTGACTCCGGTACCAGGTCGATATAACAAGCTAGTTGAAACATTAGAAATTTGTGAATGGGTTCAACAGGTCCGTAAACCAACTAGGGGGAATAATACACTTGATTTAATGTTCACAATCAACATACCAGTCATGAGTTTTTTATGAGTGACCATAGAATTGTATTGAGTATTATTCACTATTTAAACGCCATACAATTGAACTCTAAAGCTTCAATGACGTACCAGAGCAGACATTTTGATCAACAAACATGGAAACGGACTGAAAATCTCATTCAATGTTTACCATGGGAAACTTATTTTACCACAAATAATGTTGACATTGCGCTTTCCAATCTATACCACAACCCGATATATTGTCTTGACTGCACTGCTCCAGTTATTGGCCGTGTGGCTTATAATGCTAATAGGGGCCAAAATACTTTTAAAAGAAAGCTGAGGAAATTAAAATACCGCTACTATGAGCAGAATGATGTGTATGCACTTCAGAGTATACATAAATTAATCGACAGAAATGCTTCATATAAACGTAAGTATTTCATGGATATAGAAAATAAAGCTCTACGTAGTAAAAACCCAGAATTATCAATACTTCGACTTTTTAAATCCCGTGTAAAATCAAATTCCCTTGGCACGACTAAATTCTTCATAGTTAACGGAAGCATTGTTAACGACCCGAATACTATATGCGAACAATTCAGCAAGCAATTCTCGCAGTGCTACAAAACTGGGACTGAAAACTCCATCATTACATTTCCAATGCTGACATCCAGACATCTGTCGAAAATTGCTTTTACACCCTCCAACATCAAGTAGGCCATAGCTGCCCTGAAAAAGTCTTATGATGGTGGACCTGACAGGATACCTTCATCATTTATGAAATATGGAAGTACAGAAATTCCACTATTTTGTTTGAAACTTTTCAATCTATCTATGGAATATGGGACCTATCCATCTGTGTGGAAAACATCCCTTGTCACCCCTAGATTCAAAACAGGACCACGTAGTGATATTATTAACTATAGGCCAATTAATTTGACATCCGTGCTCTCAAGAACCATGAAAAAAATCATCCACAAACACCTACTATCATTTTTACTTTCGGCTAGTCTGATCAGCCCATCCCAACACGGGTTTATGACTAAACGTTCATGTTTCACATCGCACTTGGAGTTTTTTGATCAAATTACACAGAGAAGAGATGTTGGTCAGTCAGTGATAGTTCTTTACTTCGATTTTAGTAAGGCTTTCGACAGTGTCTCACACAAACTTCTTCTTTTAAAACTCTCTTCATTTGGCATACAGAATCCCCTTTTATCTTGGCTCAAATCTTTTTTAGAAGAACGTAGCCAAATCGTTCGCTTTGGATCTTGCTACTCTAAACCTGTGAATGTAACCAGTGGGGTTATACAAGGAAGTGTGGTTGGTCCATTGCTCTTTCTCCTTTTTATCAATGATGTGTGTTCCCTCTTTCAGTATGGTAAGCTTTTCCTTTTCGCTGATGACCTGAAAGTAGTTTATTCATTCTCTTCTCCCACGAAAGAAAGCTATATTTCAGCGGTAATCCAAGAGGAAATAAACAAGTTATACGAATGGACTGTTTCGTGGAATTCACCACTTAATGTTGTCAAAAGTGGATTTATTCACATTGGCCGCTGCCTTAACTTAAATCTGACTGAACACACACATACACTGAAACCTCTCAACACTGTTCGTGACCTGGGTTTAAGATATAGCAACAGTCTGAACTTTTCTGAGCACATTATATCTCAAGTATCCAAAGCTAGAAATCTGATCGGATTGATAATGATAAACTTTAATAATATCGAATCGAGATTGTTATTATACAGAAAATGTATCTTACCCATTCTTGAATATGGTATTTTAGTTTACAGTAATTGTAGACATAATGACTTGATTAGAATTGAAGGTGTTCAAAGAAAGTTCACCAAAGCTGTTCTGGGGTATTCCGATAACAAAGACTATTACCAAAGATGTCAACTACTCAACTTAGAACCTCTTTGGATCAGACGTATCAAATTAAATCCTGCCTTTATCTACCGGCTTATTAACGGTATTTCCTACTCCTCGGTATCCACCCCTTCATACCTTATGATATCATGCCACAATCTACGCAATAAGGAGAATATCCTAGCGATTCCAAGGACCCACACAAACTTACGTCAGAATTGTTTCCTTATTCGCTACTCAACCATGTGGAACAGACTGCCAGTGAACCTCCGTTGCAGTGAAACTACAACCCGGTTCAAAAGTTTCCTTGACGATTTTCTTTCCGAAAGTGGATTATGTCACCTATTGAATATCAATGTATTCAATAATGATTTATACAAACAAGGTCCGTCATCCATTTGATTTAAAAGCAAAATAAAAACTTTAAATCTTTCCACGTCTATTTTATTTTATTTCTCTTTATCTTAATATATGAAATCTGCTTATGTTTGTGTTTATCATTATTACCGTTATTAATATCATTATTAGTTGCCCGACACATTAGATATTCTTTTTGTATCTTCTTATCCTTCTAAACATATTTAACCCCAGATTGTCCTTTGAAATCAATTTTGACTTTCATAGCATCAATCTTAATTATTATTGCACAAATATTTATACTAATATCCGGTTTCACTCTGTATACTATTACATAAATCTAAATGTATTCATCCGAGTGCTTTAACGGATTTTTATTTTATTTTTTCAATTGCTGGTTTCCTTCTGAGGTTGATATTCATTACACAATTATTATTCTTATCATGAATCAAAACGTTTCACTAAGTGTTCACTTCTTTTCTCTCTTCTTTCCCTCTAAATAAATATTATTCTTAAGATTACGAAGTTTGTAATTAAAACAATAACTTGTGTTACACTTAAATTAAATTCTCAGATCTGTTTTATCTTTACTATACATATATGACTACTCATACATATTTATATTTTATTATCCTTTTCATTTAATTGTAACTTTCATAGCATCACTTCAAACTATAACTGCACAAACATTTATTCTAGCGTCATATCTTACTGCAATTATAAGTTATTTTTTCTTAATTATTTTTGTTACTAATTTAACGATACACACATAGTCGTTTATTCTTGTTCTATGTTCATAAGCACGCCTATTAGACTGTTTGCGTATTTCACGTCTCCTTTATTTCTATTCCCTAATTTTCTCCATTTCCTTCTTTAAACTCAATTCAATATTCTTCTCAATTGCACAGACCCGATTTATTATTATTAATATCCTACTATTATTGCTCCAATTTTTTTTTAAATGGCAAGTATAATGCTGACATTATTGAAAATTGTGTATTATTGCATTTTTCGAAGAAACCCGAAATGGTTTCTTCACAACACTCATGTACCCATAAGATGTTTGTGAATAATAATAATAATCTATTTCGGTCTGTAACCACTGGCAAGATTATTGTATCCTCTAACTAAAAACAAAAGCTTTGAGAAAAAAGTAAAATCATAATCGGTGTGGTCTTTTTGCGTAGACTAATGAGGATGAAGAAAGAATGACCATACTCTATGTTAATCCCTTGGACACGTTTAGCTGTTTCCGACTTTTGTTAATCATGCAGTTTGACGGAAACTTAAGGATCACCGTTAGTACGAACTCTAAAAAAAGTAGCGCTTTTTCATTGGGTTTAGGTATTTTTCCAACTGCTGTGCATTGTTCTGAAAGCATCATTTTGTCTCGTATATCAGGTTCATTTTAATCTTGAAAGATAAATTTTGTGAGATATATATCAGTCAATACATACCTATCGCAAACATCTTTAAATATTCTACATAAGACAGTTAGCATGAACACGTTTTTATATCCTGAAATACAAACACCCAATTGACAGTTGCTATCTCAATAACTGAACACTGTCACCTTTTATACTCACAATCAATGATTTTAGTACTAAACCAGTCAATACTTAACAATAGTATATACTCATATATTCTCTTTAGCTTTACAAGCTCACTTATCACCTGAGATTCAACTATGGCTAGTAATCCCACTGGGAGAGAAATATTACCGACTTCTAAACCAAACAGAACAAAACAGGATCATAAAAATTCGCTACATACAGTGAACTGTTTATATAGTTAGCATACATCTACAGGCGAAATTCAAATGTCATTGCTCAGATGTTATAACATGGTGTCTATTTTCATTCCTTGATGTAACTGGTGGTTAGTGTACCAAAGGTTTTAAAATTCGCTCGATTACATCCTAAACTCTTAATGGTTGTTCATTTATAGAAAATAGGGTCACGACTCGTGACTTCCTACATATTCATCATATGCCTAATCACGGAACGATATCGTTTGGATAAGAATTTCCACCCTTCTATTCACTGATAATCACCTCTAAAACAAACAAGATATACATTTTCATTCATCCAACTAGAATGATGTGCATCACTTTTAAGAGCGTATTGCTCACATGCACTGGAAGACTTATGCGTATACAGAGTCAAGACAATTGCGGACAGCAAATTAATTCGAGAAGAGAATACCAACGTGCAGATACTCAATATATATATATATATATATATATATATATATATATATATATGACTAAGAGCATCAGCCGTCATAAGTTGAAGAAACTATTCACCACAAAAATGTGTGAAAGCCTACAATACAACAGTTACAAAATCAATTACTCTTGCTAAATAAACCAAAAATCTAATTAAATAAAGAACCTCTAGTTACTTTAACACGAAAATAGGGGGGAAATCACTCTCATTTGACGGGATAAGTTGGTTTTTATTGTCTACATACGACCACTGATCCTGACATAATTAAACATTTAGGAAAAGCCTCTGAAAAAGCCTCACAAAAGTTAAAAATAGTTACAATCCCTTAAACAATTTACTTTTCTTTCTACTCTTGAATAACACGAACTTATTTATGCGAAATAACAGTAATCAGATGGTGAACAGTTTAGTCCAGCTAAAAAACCAATAGATGTAATTAAGACAATGGTACCTTGGATGCTGACAGTTAATATGATAGACGTAATCCAAAGCTACAGACCCATCCAAATCGTTTAAATCAATAGAATCCATTGTATTGGAATTTGATTTGTCATAGACGGTCCCCCCAGTCTTCATCGTTCTGTGGATCGGTGATGGAAGCTTGAAAACATCATCCTCACCATTAGTTGACTGAATGTGATTATCGTAAGAAAAATTCTGGGTCGATTCAAGTTCTTCTGCTCGAGGTATTTCTGTCATCTTAGGAATTAAAAAATGTTGGATATTAGAATTGTAATCTAAAATTACACATTATCGTCTACTTACTAGACATTTACAACAAGAAAAGTGTCTAACATTGATGCATAAATTTCATGCAAGTTATAAAAAAATCCACTCAGATTACGGAGAGCGCCTGAAGACGAAATCGTCGAACCGAGTAACATATTACCAGTTCGCCAGTATAAACTGCTAAGGAGAACTCAGATTACTTACATGTTATCTTTTTTTCTTAAAGAATAATCTCGATGGCATTTTTATAAATTATATTTCAGTAGTGATCTACACTGTTATCAGATTAGTTGTTTTTAATTACAGTCTGCTAGTTGTCTTATGCATCCCAACGTCAATGAGTGTTACTTTGTAAATGGAGTTGTTGAATTTTTGATTTTTGGTTCGAAAGATAAAGTTGTCCTAAAACGTCCCTTCTCTATTCGGTGCGTGGATCATTACCGTTGAAGCGTTTTTCTTAGACATCCAGTCTGTCAAGTTCTCATTAGTCTTGTTAGCATTAAAAGATTCTCAAATTACCGTAGACCCAACCTAAAACCAATTACAATTACATTATAAAACTTAAAATAAACAAACAACCAACCGACAATTGATAAACACTGATAAAAACAAGTTCAAAATCTGCTTTCAGGTTTTAAAGTTCTTTTATTAACGAAGTATATATATATATATATATATATATATATATATATATATATATAACCATCTTATCAGCTCTTTTAAACTTCGTAGATGATTGACAGGTTCACTATTATTATTTTTTTAAATACTAAAACAACTCTGCCTGAGGTTTTTCTAGGGTCAGTAATCTCATTCCGTGAAAAAGAACTTTGTTAAGAAACGACAGCCAGAAAAATTCATTTTAATCATTTTAATTCTGCTCACGGACTACAAGGGGCAACATTTAGAAGAGTTATGATGCCTTGTGATAAAAGCCGAGATTCTTCAGAAGTCACGAGGCCGATTGTTTTTCTAAGAATCAGAGCAACAATTAACATAGGTACATTGGATGTCGCCACAATGTAGGAGACTGAGAGGACCAGTCAAGTTGTTGAGGAAATGAGATAGAACATGGAGGAGCTTGGAACAAGCCAAAACCGTTAGAAGCAAGCTGGATAGAAAAGATAAGCTTCGAGTGAGGTTCTGTTGTACTCTGATCATGAAAAAGAAAATGTCTCGTGTATATAGGTAGTTGCACTGATGTTCTTCAAAGAAACATGAAAAGCACTTATAGTATCGGAATTTCATGGATTCAGGATCATCAAAGCATCTTTCAAAACAACTTTTATGTCCGAATGTATTCCTGATCTTTTGTTTCGCTTTCTTTCAGCATCACGTTTGCATTACTTAGCCATGGCGTTTCTTCTTACGGCTGAAACAAGTACGCTTTTTTCAAGTTCATACCTTCCTTGTACCGAGCACCGTTCATCAGGTACGTTGTGATAGTCGTAAACTTGCCAGACAGTTACGTTGCATAAGCAGCACCACAAGTTTAGCACAGAAATGTGAAGTTTCGGTTAGGTGTATGTTCTCCAAGGTCATAATTTCTACAAGGCGCCATTTTTGTACGGATTGTAACGACTGCGAAATCACAATACTGCACTAACACGCAAGCATATTTATTCAGTAGTTAATATATCGGCATGAATATTCTGTTATACGATTCCGCTGATTTTATCTAATTCAAAGGTCTACCTGGGTATCTTCTCATCTGTTAGCCCATGTTGCAAATTATTGATCGTGCTTATATAAATGATGTGAACCTGCTATGTCAAAAATCAGACTATCCCTGAATTCAATACTACAGTTGACCATGATCCTGTCGGGCACTTAGACACATGCAGGTCAGTACGGTACAGTAATAATGAAATCCAGTTTAGAGTAAACCGGAAAATTGAAAATAGAGGTCATTTTAAAACTTCCGATTCACAGAACTAACGAGCGAATCTACCTACATTACCATATTTCGGAACAGTGAACATCAACTCTGGGATAAAGGTACATCCAGCTGACGAGCGTCCTGGATCCCGCTGCTGGCCATCATACATCTTTGCTTATAATGCTTGTGACCCAAGGCAACACCAAGGCAATCCGCACAGGATGCATATATGCTAAACATCAATGGGATGATTCAAACGAACAACACAGTGATAGCTATCGTTTCCAACTACAGAGTACGGTTATCTTTTACACCCCGATTAAAATGTACGGCATATGAAGACAGTATTTGGCTTCAAAAACTGTTGGAATCTCTTGATATCCTCACCTCTGTTCTCATTCTAATCTGTTCATCTAGAATTGAGCACTTCATATCGATGTTAACAGTGATTGGAAGTGCTTAAAACCGATGGGAATCACTCCAGTCAATGGAAATTAACGGCCTTATTGATCGACTTACTAACCCTACTTAACGTTTTACGCCTGACAGTCATACCCGTTTGTAAACAAGCAGTCTTAATGAGAAAACCGAATTAGGCTGAACTGCTTGTGAAACAACACTGTGCTGAAGTCCCATAAATACTTAACAATCAACTACGAATAGTTTCACCTGATATAGTAAATATCTCCATAATTTTCTCTAGATTGAATGAACTCATGTTAAAGACAACTTGAAATATATTAAATCTTAATATACAATAAACTGCACAAGATACAGAAGTAGTGGCTTAGTACTTAAGCTATTCCACTCTCGGCCACTAAGTTCCAAGTTCGAACTCCGCTACATTTTCTTCTGTCCGGACAGCCGGGTAATATCATGAGACCTCACACTCTGTATGGCTCATACTCAAGTACCTGGTGAATGAGTTTGTTAAATTTATTTAAGTATTATCAGACAAAAATTACTAACCCATTATTAGCAAGTATGTGAAACATATGATTATAATTCTATAAATTACGGGGTATAGCTGGACCACTACGTCTTCACAATAAGCTAATAAACGTACTTTCTCTTCGAAACATTTTTATACCTATCATATAGTTCGCTATTCTAACAGACAACAACAACTATTTAGATAACAAAATCTATCGAAAACATATCTCACCTCTTCCACGCGAATGGGTCTTTGATCGAAAAACCCTCTTAGATCCTGACGGAAATAGTGGATAAGGCTAGGCCCGAAAGGCCCGGCAGCACGAAGAAAGGATAAAGGATTAAAGGGACGGAATATTTGACGGAAAGTCGAAAATATCCATGCTTGAGCTGCACCTACATTCGACTGATCTTTAACTTTTAAAGGATCCTCGACAAAACCCCAAGGATCTGCTAGGATCAAATGAACAATCCTAATTAAAAAGAATAAAAAGCATTGACAATTTTTAGTAAGCAAAATCATTATTTTAATGCTATTCATACAACACTCAAGTATTTTATAAACACAATAAAGTATTTCACGACGTATAAATTCCAAGCTGATACAATATCGAACCTAGAACAATAGTGCACTAGCCCAAGTCTCTATATTTCAAAACAGACATAAAAAAGACAACAGAAACAAGATTAAGTAAAAAAATAAGTGGGTCCGAAGCAAAGAACGTCAGTAGAGCTGGCCTACTGGTGGTTTAAAGAAGCATTATTACAATTTTACTTAACTCAGATTGGAAACAAATTCTTTCATGAAATGAATCAATTCCAAAGCATAGTAACTCAGTGAACTTCTCTAATATTTTTATTCATTAATAATATTTATGTTCGAGATGGACGAATAGGAATATACTATAAACATTCTGCATCACAATCTTCTTGAATAATTTAAATATTCCATCCGCAGAATTATGTTCATTCAGTGCTTTTAACTGTTTGGATAGATAACGTTATGAAAGTATTCCCTAGATTTAATAACCACGTCTTACAAACACTTAGTAGTCAATCATAACCATTGTATAGTCTAGCATATAGTTGCACAGCAAAATGAAGTTAACAAGCTTAATACCAAATGAGTTCATATTATAGCAGTAATAATGATAATGAGAACGACTAAACATTAGGAATATGGTTCTAAAGAGTATAAAGACAGAATATGAGTCAGTCACAACGTAGAACCTGATACGTATGTACATCGTTTCAAGTCTCCATAAGCCCCTAGCGCAAAGATCAAATTTTCGGGCCAAATCTCAGAAAAGTAGAGGTAGTAACAGTACCAGTGGTAATAGGAAGGATTTGGGACTGGAGATACGACTCGAGAAAATAGAAATTAGTGAAATAAAGAAGAGAAAATTTAGAATCTCAGAATTTTGGGGAAGACAAAGAGTGGATGTATTTGCGTCACTGCAAACGGTCGTGAGCTATGTCATTCAAAGTGTCTAACCACTGATCACGATAATCAAGCGGAAGGGAAACTTAAATTCAAGATTTAGAGGAAGATAAACAGTAAGTGCATTTGGGCTAGTGTGACTGGTCCTCAACTGTTACTCGACATCTACAATTGATGATTGCGGTTATCTCGTAGAACTCGATCAGGTAGTCTGAACTTACCAACAGTTAATTATTCCATGAATTGATGCCAAGTCTTGGTTTAGACGTCTCTATGTTTATTACAACCGACTCACAACTTGGCGATGCCCATAATAAGTGAAGCACATTTGACCCAAGCTGAACAGATAAGCCTAGACACGGGAGAGATGCTGCTGCACTCCGGTCACGAAGAGGTAATAGCTCCACACACTCAAGGAGTTGCTCTGATGTTGTGCAAAGAAGCAAGAAATCCACCTGTACGATGGGAATCTAATGAATCCAGGATCACTAAAGCATCCTTCAAAAAAGAATGGGATCACTATTAGTAAAATCCAGTGTTGTGCACACACCAAAGAAAACAACGACAACAATAAAGATCAGTTCTATGAGAGGCTACAATCAATCATAGCTAAGTGCCCAGGAAAAGACCTGACCATCCTAATGGGAAACCTAAACGCCAAAGTCGGAATGAACAACACTGGATATAAAGATATCACGGGATGACATGGACTGTGGGAAAGCAACAAAAATGGTGAGACATTTGCAAATTTATGTGAATTTCAAAATCGTTATAGGCGGCACAATATTACGAAACAAACACATACACACACCTACATGATCCACACCGGATCACGCCACGGCGAACCAGATCGATCATATTTGCTTCACTCAAAAATTCAGAGGGACAATGGAACACGTGGAAACCAGGAGAGGAGCTGACGCAGCTTCAGATCACCACCTAGTTGTGACCAAGATGAAACCGAAACTAAAGAAACCCTGGACAGCCGGAGAAACAGCAGTACAAAGGTTCAATACAACCTTCCTTTGACATACTGACAAACTCAACAAATTCAAGATCATTCTCAACAATTGGTTCCAAGCCCTACAAGATCTACTCAAATAATGAGAAGAAACTACTGTGGAGAACAACTGTGAAGGGATCAAAGAAGCATTAACTTCAACGTGTCAGGAGGTTCTGAGCCGAAAGAAGCATCATCATAAGTAATGGATCTTTATGGAAACCCTAGACAAGATTCAGGTAAGGAAGAACAAAAAGACTGCAATAAACAACAGCCGAATAAGAGCAGAGAAAGTCAAGGCACAAGCTGAATGCACAAGAGCAAACAAGCAAGTGAAGAGGAGCATTAGGGCCGACAAGCGGAAATATGTGGGAGACCTAGCAACGACAGCGGAAAAAGCTGCAAGAGAAGGGAATATGACATGGCCATATGACACAACGAAGGAACTAGCAGGGAAATTTAGTAAACCAGAGAGACCAGTCAAGGACAAAGAAGAAAAACAAATCACCGAGATTCAAGAACAGACGGGTGGAATACTTCGAGGAACTCTTGAATAGACCAGCCCCACTGAACCCTCCGGACATGGAAGCAGCACACACAGACATTCCCATAGATGTCACTCCACCAATGACGGAAGAAATCAGCATGGCCATCAGACAAATCAAAGAGTGAGAAAGCAGTAGGACCTAACAACATACCGAATGAAGCAATGAATTCAGACATGCAAGTAACTGCAAGCATGCTCCACGTTCTATTTAGAAAGATTTGGGAGGACGAACATGTACCGATAGACTGGAGGGAAGGACACCTCATCATAATACCAAAGAAAGGAGATCTGAGCAAATGTTAAAACTATAGAGGTATCACACTAATATCTGTACCAGGAAAAGTTTTTAACAGAGTATTGCTCAGCCGGATGAAAGATTCAGTAGACGACCAGTGTGGGGATCAACAGGTCGGATTTCGTAAGGATCGACCGTGAACAGACCAAATCGCGACACCATGGATCATCGTTGAACAGTCATTGGCTATGAGAAACAATTTGACAGCGTGGATAGGAGAACTTTGTGGAAGCTTCTTCGACACTATGGTGTACCTGAGAAGATCGTCAACACCAGTAAATATTGTGACTAATGTATTGTCCCGTCAACGTTGGTTTTCGAATGATGGATCGTTTGCTTGAACCATCTTCTCGTCTACTTGTTAGCACTATGGTGTACCTGAGAAGATCGTCAACATCATCCAAAATTCATACGACAGACCACAGTGCAAAGTTGTGCATGGTGGACAGTTGAAAGACGCATTCCAATCGAGGACCTGTGTCAGACAAGGCTGCTTACTCTCTCTTCCTCTTTCTTCTGGTGGTCGATTGGATTATGAAGACCTCGACATCTGAGGGGAAGCATGCAATACAATGGACAGCTCAGAATCACCTAGAAGAGCTGGACTTAGTAGATGACCTGGCCCTTCTATTCCATACACACCAACAAATTCAGATAAAGACAACTAGTGGAACAGCAGCCTCTGCATCAGTAGGCCTCAGCATACACAAGGGAAAAAGCAAGATCCTCAAATACAGCACGGAAAACACCAACACAATCACACTTGATGGAAAAGATCTAGAAGATGTGGGATCGTTCACGTACCTGAGAATCACCGTCTATGAACAATGAGGATCGGATGAATATATAAAGGCGAGAATTGGCAAATCAAGAACAGCATTCGCACAGTTGAAGAAAATATGGAACTCCAAACAACTGTCAACCAATATCAAAGGCAGAATCTTCAATACAAATATCAAGACAGTTATTCTGAACGGAGTTGAAATTCAGAGAACTATTACAGCTGTCATCGAAAAGGTACAAGTACTTGCACAAGATACTCAATATTTGTGGCCAGAAACCATCTGCAACAGCCTACTGTGGGAGAGAACAAACCAGCCTCCACCTGAAAAAGAGATTAGGAAAAGATGTTGGAAGTGGATAGGACCCATGTTGTGGAAAAACTCAGATTGCATTACGAAGCAAGTGCTCACTTGGAATTCTGAAGGGAAACGGAAAAGAGGAAGGCCAAAGAACACACTGCGCCGGAATTGGTAGCAGACATCAACAAAATGAACAGCGATAGGAAAGAATCGGAATGGATGGTCCAGAACAGAGTTGGATGGAGAGTGTTGGTTGGCGGTCTATGCTCCTCCTAGAGGGATAACGGACGTAGGTAGGCTTATTATTCAGTATTAGGCGACAGACTGTTTGGCAATTTACAATTCTAATTTTGAATTAATTTCTTGCTTCTATACTAAACAATGGCATAAATAAGAAAGATAATCTACTTCTCAATAATAGGAAGTTATCCACAGCTCTGTTCACAACACTGACATTTCTTAACAATGGAAAGGATATTCCAGCCTGCAGTAATAAGGTTTCGGATACGATTAACGTTAATCATATCAGTAGCATGTCAGCTAATAATTAATGACCTAAACTATATTCAAATCAATAAATGTGATTTTCATGACAATCAGCACTTACGTATATACTGCACAAATAGTTCACCACCACCGCCCCAATTTCATGGAAAAACAGAAACCGAACTCTCACAAAATAATTTTAAAAATATGATAGTAGTACAGATAAGCATACCTAAGTCAAGTGAAACATCAAGGACCGTAAAGAAAACAGGAACTGAAAGGTGCAGAACGAATAATGTAATATCAACAACCATGTCGTATAAGGATGATGCAAATGGTGTATATACTGACAGTAGTGCATGACCTTGCCCAATAAACTCAAAGCAACTTAAGTAGCATAATCTAAGCTCTATAAAGATATGTGATGTACTATGAACCGCAAAAAACTTTTATAGCTGTCATTGTGCCGTTCGTTTTAGTTCCTAAGTCACCACCAACCATGGCTTTTTTATCCTGAAGTCAGTAACTCAAAATGAAACATTCGGCTCATTATATGGTAATATTAGCCATGATTAAGATTTATTTGTACGGTAATACTTTGCTATGATTCACAACTGATTGATACACTCAAGCGGGTTATCTAGACCAATAAGTAGCAAAATTTGGGGCTAAATGATATTATGTGCATAGTCAATATCCTCTCAAAAAGAATTTATTGAAACCGTTCAATTGAGACCCGTTTATTCAGAAGTCTGCTCTTCGGTTTATCAAATGTTCCTGGTCCATCACACTTTTGATTCCAGATTTAACTGTAGGAATACTAAAGACTTCTTAAGAAACAAGAAAACAAAGGGGACAAGTTTTTTTATCGATTTAAAAGGGTACGAAGCAGTTTTTATTGGGAGAAATAAATGCGCGATTCAGGTGAAGTATATTTGTTTATACACATCATTTCGCCTAGATTTCTTGCGGTGGCGATTGGACCTCCTGGGAATGGCGGTATCTTGCAATATTGGGGAGATGTATGTCTTGAATTCTCTTGAATAACACTTTCAGAGACGTTAGCAACAAAGAAAGTAGATTTCCATTTTGGTTAAGATGGAGTCGTACATCAAATGATCTTCTAAAATCCTCGGAGCAAAAACTGCTGTCACGTATTTATTCATTTGCGATTTTAACCTGTTGACATATAGGAATAAAAAGCGGTGTCGAGGCTTTTTTCGTGCCTATTTTCAATGGCTCCTGCTACATTAGAACCTTTGTTTTCCGACGTCCTAAATCGGATCAAATATCGCCTACAGGCAAAACCATAGATACAAACCAAGCCATTCCCATTGTATTGGTCCATGGATTTGGTTCTGGATCTGCTCTTTGGTGTAAAAACATTGATGCGTTCGCCTGCTATCGCCCTGTGTATTCACTTGATGTTCTCGGATTCGGACGAAGCTCTAGACCTCCTTTCCCAGTCGACGCCACTGCAGTAGAGGAAAAGTGGGTCGAGTCTATTGAGCAGTGGAGATCATCGTTAAACCTGGAGAAGTTTATTTTACTTGGCCATAGTTTGGGTGGTTTCCTAGCTTGTTCTTATGCACTTACTCACTCCAACAGGTAAGCTGTGACTATAAGTCATTTTACCAAACTTTTACTCAGTTTTCGATTTTCCCCTTTATTTAAATCAATAATAGGCCATGTAGTACCTTGTTTTTTGTTACTTTAATACCAAGAGTGTCTCAAATTTCCAGAATCTCATTAAACTATAGGAACATTGCAAATGGTGCAACGGTAAATAAAAATGTAGGTGGTAGTCCCAACTTTTTCCCTGCTACGAATATCTATTCGTTGCATTTATGTAATAAGTAATTTGAATTGTAACGTACAAACTCAGTCATTCCAGTTTGTTTGTGTAATTCCAATTATAGTCGGTGAGCAGAACCCCGAATAAGTATGCGATTGGAGAAATGAGTTTACTGTATTTTCCTTAAAAACACGTGAGCTCGTACTTTTCGAGTAAGTCATTGTAGTGCAATGAATCATAACACCATGTGTTTTATTATTTATTTAAACACATAAATACTGGTACAAGAGGGCACCAGATACATATGCGCCACACAAATTTCATTTGATTTGTGCGAGGGCTGTGATACTGCCCGGGTGCCCGAACCGAAGTAGGTGGTTTTCTTAGGGGACCACACCCGGAGCCTTCGACATAAAAGTCTAATCCCCAAGGCAGTGGAGCATTGTGAGGAGATGCAGTCTCATGGTAGCCGGTGACACGATTTGTTCCCTTATGGTACTGGAGCCCATGTGCACCATTGGTTTAGAATCAGGGTTTTCCAACTCCCTTAGGTGGATCCTCTATATCCTCCAACCCGGCTAAAGCGTTAAATATTCGCTTTTCGTCCTCTCAGTTCCGTAAACAATACCCCCGTCACGAGAAGGCGGTAAGTAGGACTTCCGTGGCAGAGGCTATATACGCGTGGCCATATGAGAGCATTTCAAAGAGTGGACTCTCCTCACATTCTGGCCGTACCAGGGGCACACCACGTGTTTAACAAAACTTTGTTTATTGTTGTATCCTAGGTTGTCGGGGTCCCGCTTTTCAAAGATCCAGCCATCATGTATGACTTGCACATTTGATTATGTACAGCTGTCACCGTATTTTAGGACTCGAATGTCAATCAGTTCGTCACAAGCATGAGACATCTGGGATTTCCAAATTTTAAACGGCTAGTTATACATCTATCTTTCACGAGAATGTTTCTGTACACGGACTCGTACGATCTTTCTTGGTTGTTTTCCCAAATGGTTTTGGTTCAGTTGTTAAATATGGAGAGCTTTCGGCTCCCACTTTCGTTTATTAAAGTACATTTGACCATTTCGGTCTTTGTATTTGTAGTCTACTGATTTCCATAGACTGGAGAATCGAACTCACAGGACCTAATTTGATCGTCGCATGGAAACTAAATTTATATAGTAAATCATTGCATCGTAGCCGTATTTAACTAGAACTCCAAACCCTCGAAGAATATAATTACCGTGGGAAAAAACCAGTATACTGAACTATCGGTTGAAGTCCCCAGTCTCCTCATAATCTTAAGAGGTTGCAGTTTTCTTTAAAATCATAACAATTTATGTCAAGTGTTAGTAAATCAAAGCAAATTATTTGGGATTGTCTAAGAGTGGGTACACAAAGGCTATTTAAATTATTTGCCGCTTCTGCTATCAAACTTGCAACATCATAACTTTCGTCTCAGTAGTCAGCTTCATAATAAGCAATGAGTTAATGTAACTTAACCAATCAAATACACTTTCAAATGAGTTCATACGGATTTCTACTTGATCCCTAGACTATATATTATTTTGCTTACCCACTTCGGTTTCGCAAAAGATTTATCCAAAAGGCATTAATTTCTCTCTTATTACTAGATATTTGCCACACGGCACCAGAGTTAATAATTCGAGTTCAATAACGAACAGCAATTAGAATATGACAGTGAAATAATAATAATAATGGGATGGGCAGTTCAGTTAGCAAAAGTATAACCACAAAAAATTCTACCATTTTTTTATGAAGAAAATAAAAGAGAGTCACTGCAGGATCCCTACTGGCTTCTATTCTGAGCCATTTCTGATAACATTTCTAGTCACTGTGTTACACCATCTCTGAGATCCTAACCAGAGAGTCATGAATGACCAACAGAAGTCAGTCCTGCACAACTCTCTTTCATACTACTACTCCATGTCGTCTACCGACCACCTCCGCTTTTTGCAACCAGTCCCAGAGTCGACAAATAATGCACGACGTGGAATTCTCTGGGACGACATTCGCAGAACATGTCCAAGCTACCAAAGTCGATATCTCAAGATAGTGACACCAATTGAATTATCGTCTCTGTGCCCGAACACACGATGCCGAACCTCTGCATTACTAACATGATGTTGCCATTGGATGGCAGCAATCCTTGGGAGACGACGATGATTAAACACAGAGAGTCGTCTAACATCCTCAACTCGAGGAGGCCAGGTTTCACAAGCATAGAGCAAAACTGATCTCACCGACGCGTTGTAGATCCGACCTTTTACAGCCAGACTGACATCACGAAGGCGTCAAAGATGACCCAGATTGGCTTAAGCTGCCCTGGCTTTCATTATACGTGCATTGATTTCATCACTCACGCCACCACCAGCACTTATGCAGCTACCCAGGTGGTCGTATGCCTTCACTCTTCCTGAGGTGTTTGTATATGAGGCTTTTAAGATGTTAATAAACTTCTCAGGCACACCCTTCTTCAACAGACAATCCCGTAGAACAGTTCTGTCTAACAAATTGATGGTGGCCTTGATGTCAAGAGACACTAGGACTGTTGGCTTGTAATAAGTATGACGGTGCTCTGGTATTTGATGGTGGGTGAAAAGATGATCAAAACAGCCTCGATAAGAACGAAAACCAACCTGCTCTTTGCGAGTCGATCTTTTCTGTTTTAAACAATCTGCGAAGTATGACGGAAGCCAATAGTTTGGACACAATCGGAAGTAGACTTATCCCCCAATAATTGTCGCATAGATTACGTGAACTCCTATTAAAGATAAAGACGACTATCGACTCATTCCACGATATTGGAACACCTTGTAACTACTAGAAATTTTTAAACAACTCAGTCAGTTATCTAACCAGACGGTCGTCACCAGATCAGTTGAGCTGCCCCTCAAAAAAATCTGCCCATCGTCCAAGATGTCGGTAGATGTTGGTGATTGACACCCTGTCATCTTTACAGATTGTCTTGCTGGCAGTGACTCGGATGAGTTGAAAGACCTTCCGGTAGTTACCAGATGCAGCTGCTGCTTCCAACCCATTGGCACGCTCCGACCACCAGGTTTCTCGGTTCTTATGCAAGCTATGCACATCTTCATTGCGTGACAATCTTCGTTTGTGGCCAAGCTCGAGGTCACCCAGAGTAGACTGATGTGCTTCAATGGGTTGTAAGGATCCTGTAGAAACCTTATGCTTATGAACTGGACGTTTCACGAAGCTGCAAGTGACTTTACTCTCAATTTTCATGGTGTCGTGCAATTGCAACTAATGCTCATTTATACTTTCCGGTGGGGTGTTAGCTAGCCTTGAACCTAGCTCGGTTTGATATTTAGTTGCAACAAAAGTTGTAACCAATTTGCTGACATCGATTCGTTTAGGACAATTGATTTGTTGGCCAGAGCCACACCAAAGGTAAATGATCATGATGTGATCAGAGTCCAGGCTTGAGATGTAGAGCGAGGGCGCCATGTGGCACATCGGCGATGACTGTGCCGGTAGTTAGTGTTAGCTAGAAACAGGTTGTGATCTGCGCAGAGTTGCAGTAGACGGTCCCTGTTATCTAACCTGTGACCAACAAGTTTCCATCGGCCACCTAAACGACTCTCTTTTGTGTCTAGACACCAGACTTGTACATTCAAGTCTCCGTCTAGCACTGCAATATTTGTCGAAGGAGCTTTCCGGAGATCATTTAACTGGTGGTAAACTTCATCCTTGATTGCATTCCGGTTGTAATCTGTCGTGAGATAGGCAGAGACTAAAGAAAAACATCTTTTCTTACACCGAATTCTTCTTACTTTGATGGAGCTTTCTAATCTAACAGCACATAACCGACTATTAATGGGGATCCAATGTATTAGTTCTGCCTCAGCTCTAGTGCTTAGTGCGACACCAACGTCCGCATAACCAGACAAAGATGCCACAGGGTCCCCGGATAAGCGCACGTAAAACAGGCTTTTCGAAGCGACAAATGGAGAGCCAATTTGTAGTACTTCACTAGTGTTGAATAAAAATCTTGGGTAGACAACAGACATAAATGTTGAGACTTTCTAAAGACACAGTCAACCCTATCTGTTGTCCGATTCGCATTAGTGTGCGAACGTTGAAAAAGGCCATTTTGAATGGTATTTATTCGATTTAAGAAAGATTGGGTCAGTATTTGTAGTCGATGGTAGGATTCAACTTTCGACCAGTCAGTGACTCGAGATCGTTTAGATAGAACAGAGTTTCCACCATAGGCAAGCTGTTGTATGAGTTGAAAAATCGCGATACATAAAGTGGGAATAAAAGAGAGTTGATAAGTGTCGTAGTATATAAAAAATAAAAATGAATGTGAATTGTCTGAATTTTAATTGAGGCGAGAGTAGTATTTTCAGTAATTATCGTCATTTCATTTTATTTGTGTGTGGGCTGTGATACTGCCCGAGTGGCCAGATCGAAACAGGTGGTTTGCTTAGGAGGCCACACGCGGAGTCTCTGACCACAAGGCAGTGGAGCAACGTCAGGAGGTACAGTCACATGGCAGCTGGTGTCCAACGTTTGGTTCATTTGCAATTTGTTCCCTCAGGATCCTGGACCCCATGTGCACCATTGGTTTAGAATCAGGGTTTTTCATCTGCACCGAGTGGATCTTCCGTACCAACCAATCCGGTTCTCTTTTTGTCCTCTCAGCCGTAAACTACACCCCCGCCGCGAGAAGGCAGTGAGTAGGAATTCCCTTATAATGTTGGTGTACCCGTCACCATGTGAGTGTATTTCGAGAGGGAGAGTGAACTCTCCCCACTTTCGGCCGTACCAG